CTTCTACCGAGAGGAAAATAATTGTTGCCAACTTCCTTCCTCTGAACTGTACAAGAGATGAAACTGGGAAGCTGTCCTTCTCATTGGATCATGATGCACTACTCATGCAACTTAAAGATGGTTTTTCAAATGAGACTAATGCTGTGTATGTGGGCAGTTTGAAAGTTCAGGTAGATCCCAGTGAGCAGGACCAAGTTGCACAGAAGCTTCTTAGAGAATATCGATGCATACCTACTTTTCTCCCATCTGACCTGCAGCAGCAGTTCTATCATGGCTTCTCTAAACAACAATTATGGCCACTTTTTCATTATATGCTTCCAATTTGCCTAGACAAGGGTGAGCTATTTGATCGCAACCTATTTCAAGCCTATGTCCGAGCCAACAAACTTTTTGCAGATAAAGTTATGGAAGCAATCAATACAGATGATGATTGTGTCTGGGTTCATGATTATCATCTCATGCTGGTCCCTACATTCTTGAGGAAGAGGTTACACCGAATAAAGATTGGTTTCTACCTTCACAGCCCTTTTCCCTCCTCAGAAATCTACAGGACTATGCCTGTAAGGGATGAAATCCTGAAGTCACTGCTTAATGCTACAATTAAGTAGTGAGTCTGAAGATCATCAATGACTAACATTGCTTTAGGACCCAGTGCAAGACCTAAGAATTGGCTACAGCCTTAGGAGCCTAAGCTCTAACATTGCTCAAATAGATAACAGAATGGTAGCAAGGCTGCAAATTCCAAACTCAATTATTAGCAAATAGCTATTGTCATACATCTGATAGGCAAAAGCCACACACACGGCTACATCACTTCCAAATTGTGCTCAGAATACAACCAATGACTACACCTACACACACGGCTGCAATAATGACATAGTCCTTCTTTAGAATCTCTACTTGCACCTTCAACTTCGAGACATCATTCACAGCATTGTCGAGTTTTGCCTTTATTTTATCGAAATCTTCCTTGAACTCTAGAATAGGGTCGACAGACCCATGTGCACAACTGGGAAGGATCGCCTTCTTCCACCAAATTGGATGCGTTGCTCTGGATTGCGTACGACATCTTCATACTGCTTCTCGGACATGATGATGCCACATGTAGTTGGGTCATCCTGCAACCGATGAAACCATACCTTCATGACCACCATCCAAAAGCACAAAATTGAACAAAAAAATTTGACTTACTTTGATGTTGTTCGGACACTTGACGAAGGTCTAGCCAAAAGTGGCCTGCTGCTTGCTTCGGATCCGTACTAATTTCACCTTGCAGTGTGGGCAGTCCACGAGTGGGGCGAAAGCAGAGCTCTGGATGCCCCCCCGAGCAGCACCTCCTCCCATATACTGACTGCCACTCATCTGGGCAACAACAGGCACCATATGCACATGACAAAGACAAGCGGCGTCAACGGCGATAAGAAGCAGATGCGCCAAAGGTCGGGCCACGACGACAATGGGGTGTACCAGGGAAAAAAGGAGAAGAATGGGGCACCTCCAATCGCCGTTGCCTTCAAATCTGTGGCACCACCGCCTCTCGCCTTGTGCCGCCTCAATCGCCACTGGCGGCCTCAAGGCAGCGCCCGACTCAGATCGCCATGTGCCTCGCGCCGCCGTTGCTGCCGCTGCGTGCCTCGAGTCGCCGCAGCTTGCCCCGCCTCGACCACCCACCTCCAGTCACCCGAGCGTTGGCCTCCAATCGATGGCTAGGGTTCTTCGATTGAGGTAACGAGGAAGAACACGGGAGAGAGAAACCGGTGAGGGAGATAGAGAGAAGACCGTGGGTTCAATACCCGTTCGGTTGAGTTAAAGATTGATGGGACCTAGGGGCATTTTGGTCCAATACAGAAATACAAGTGCTGCAAGTGGGTTCAAGAAGACTTCATACGTAGAAAAGGGCAAAGCTCAGAGAGGGCAAGAATATGAAGGACAAATCTCCAATTCCTCGAATTGTAAGGACAAATCTCCAACTTCAGAAAATTGTAAGGACAAGAATCCAATTCTTCCAATATTTTAATGCCTGAAACCCAGGCCACCTATACAGCGAAACAAATATAAGAGATCCAAAGTCCAAAAGCCATACTGCAGTTTTACCTTGCATATGAGAATGTGAAAGAGTCCTAAATAGATGGGAAGAGAATAACAGCTGCCGTAATCCAGCCATTGGATGGCAAGCTCCTCCACAGCCCCTGGCTCATTCATGACCTTTCTCTTTGTGCTTATCCCAGTGCGCTTGATTAGAGACCGATTACATGAACAACAGGCTGTATAATAATCAAATTGAAGTTGCTGCATAACATTGACTCGTTAGTTGCCCATCATACTGCAAGAATAAACCAATTTTCAATCTGGAAACACTCTGATAATAAAGATGTAACGTAGCAAGCAAAAAAAAAAAAAAAAAAAAAAAAAAAAATTATGATGGATTGCGATGATCAGTCCGAACTTGCTCCTTGGTCAGTTGAAGGCTAGTCAGCAGTCTGCACCCTTGTTGGCATGATTCACGGGGACAGAAAAAGGAAATCATTCCTGGCCACCATTGCTGAGTCACGTTTGGACATGAATCCATGATTGATGCATAGCATAAATCTCAAGATTCAATCTGCCATTCTGCCCTTCAAACAACAAGAATAAAAATTTGTAAGATGGCCGGACGCATAGGAAACAGAAATTGGATAAGAAACAAAAATTTCTACCAAGATGCAACAAATCAAAGAGGAAGATACCCACTTCTGCGAGTCGCATCAGGTGACGAAAGCTACACACCGATCGAGAGCAACTTCCGAAATTCCCTGGCCGCCTCAAATTGCATGCTGCTGTCATCCGAGTATAACCTTGCCGCCAACTGCGTCAGGTTCCCCAACTACACCCGCAAGATATAGAAAAAAACAGGAAACGAAACAGAACGGAACGAACAAATCTACTGTAGAACGAAAAGGAAAAAAAAACACCAATGCCGAACCCACCATCTTCTCAAGGGCCGGCGGGTGCGATTGTGCATGCGGCACCGCCTCGGAGCAGCGCTTCCTCGGAGGGCGCTCCCGCGGCTCTCCTTGCGGAGGCTGTCCATGACGCTTACGCGCCGCCGCAGCCCGTCGGCCGCACTCACCGACGCCTTGAAGCTGCTCTGGCGTAACTCCGCCTGTTCGCTTGGCCGCAGCGACATCTCAGATCGGATGGAGAGCTCCTCTCGTCGTAAACAACCTAAGCGCGCGGCGATGGAAGCGGCGGCTTAGATGGAAACAAGTGGAAAGAATTCTCCGTAGAAAAATGGGGGAGGGGATTGCGGGTACGCAGGCTGGAGGCGATGCCACTGGCTGCGTCCCCGGCTGGAGGCTGCTCCGCCGGTCGCGCCCCTGCCTGGAGGCCGCGAGCCTGGCCGCGCCTGGGGCAGCTTGGAGGGGAACGGCGGCGGCGTGTACGAATGCGTGGGGAGGGGGAGGGAACGTGGGAGAGGCGGCGGCGGCTTGGGTGCGCGCATGAGGAAGGGAGGGTGCGTGAATGGAGGGGATGGAGCATGATTTGAGGGGAGGGGAGGGAGCGGGCGGCGGGGCACGCGCGATCCCACCTTCCTTCTCAGCGTATGACGGAGTAACGACGACCCAAAAAAAAAAAAATCACACCAAAAAATTATCTTATTTTTATTACTTTTAGTTGTACGAGATGACATATGAGATATCTACGTTTTGTGGCAACTTCGCTACTGTAGCCTGCAGCTCTGATTTTTTGTTTTTGCATCCTAAGCGATCTGGGGTGGCAATCTAATGGCATCACGTCAGCCACGAAAGGGCAAAATTAGACCTTTGATAGTTTAGGGAGGTAAATTGGGCAAAAAATACTATTAATATTTTTTCTTGAAAAAATTATGCAACTAAAAATCATAATGTTTGGTTTAATCTTAGATAATTCATAGAAATATTATTTTACCTAAAAAATTATGAAACTAGTTTTATACTTTTTTCTAAAATCATGCTCTATCTAATGGTGCCAAAATTAAAAACTGTTCGACCATTCTATGGACTTGGGTTTGTTTTTTTGTTGCTAGAAGAGATCTCGTATATGTTATAGTTAGTCTACGTTGATGACCGTGATTGTGAAAAAGTTCAGAACGTCGGATGACTTTGATGATGACACAAGTATCATATAATGATGTAACAACATCATATTTGTTCCTGCTTAGGCCCGGTTTAGCACAACTATAGGTAGAAACACGTCCCAAGGAAGATGCACAAATGGAGGACAAGTGCATCAAAATGAGCTAGTCTAACCAACAGCATTTGCTAGCGAGAGTAGTCCATGTCACTTAGCCTTCAACTTAGTTTGGTTAGTCAACAATAGCTAATATAATAGATAACAAGATCATCTGCTAGCAAATAAACACAAAAGGAGTCTATAGAACATTTAAACAATTTCAATATAGGCACTAGAAGATAGAACATGAATTTTCAAAAATACAAAAATTGTTTGGTAAATTTCTAAGCTCAAATGGATCTTCTATGAGTTATTTAAGATTAGAATATATTTTAGGATTCTTATTGCATATAAAGTTTCTAGAAAAATCTTAGATAATTTTCCAAAGAAAATATTTATAGTCATATTTATCCCTTAAAGTATCAACAAAGTTCGATCTACCCCTAATAACATGGTAAAACCACTATCCAAAATCGTTTAGAATGCAAAATCAAACTGTATTAAAAGCCGGTTTTGTAAATGTGAGGAAAATTGGATTATTGCCAAAATTAATGGAGTTGAAGAACATTTTCCTACTCTCAAGTGATTGAGTTTCCGCGGCCCAGATTGTGTCGCGATTATCGTGTCTCCACGACCCAACAAATTTAGCTGGGCCGAAACGCGTCGTCCTCAACCAAACTTGAGTGAGATGGGCCAGCCCGTAGCGGGCTGCTGTTCATCTGTAGGTACAGTGTCCCACCTTCACTCCTTTGACCACCAACTCCGGCGGCGCCGTACGTCGCAGCCGCACGCCACCCAGAAATACCTACATGGGGCGGACGGCGCGCTCCCGGCCTCCGGCCACCGAGCCGCCTCTGGCGGTCACCGGCCTTCGCTCCACCAAAATCTCCTTCCGCTCCCGTAAGATCGTCAAGACACCATCCGCGAAAACGAAACCTTGGGCCACGACCGCCCTGGCACCACCGGCTCCGGCGCCTCCAGTGCTGCCCGCGCTGTCCACCCCGGGAGAGCTCGCAGCGGCTCTGCGCCACCTCCAAACCGCGGACCCCCTCCTCGCCGCGGTCATTGCCTCCACTGAGGCCCCCACCTTTGCCGCCACCCCCTCCCTCCCCGCGTTCCACTCCCTCGCGCGCTCCATCCTCTACCAGCAGCTCGCGACCTCCGCTGCAGACGCCATCTACGCTCGCTTCCTCGCGCTCCTCCCCTCTGCTTCGGCGGCGGTCACACCCGTAGCCGCTGACGCGGTCACACCTGCCGCCGTCCTTGCCCTCGCCGCCGCCGACCTGCGTACCATCGGCGTCTCCAGCCGCAAGGCATCCTACCTCCACGACCTCGCGGCCAGATTCGCAGCCGGGGAGCTGTCCGACTCCGCCGTCGCCGCGATGGATGAGGCTGCGCTCCTCGCGGAGCTCACCAAGGTCAGAGGCGTCGGCGAGTGGACTGTCCACATGTTCATGATCTTCTCGCTGCACCGCCCCGACGTGCTGCCGTGCGGCGACCTCGGCGTGCGCAAGGGCGTACAGGAGCTGTACAAGCTCAAGGCACTCCCCAATCCGGAGGAGATGGCAGCATTGTGCGACCGGTGGAGGCCGTACCGGTCAGTCGGCGCGTGGTACATGTGGCGCCTCATGGAGAGCAAGGGCGCTGCAGCCAAGAAGAAGAATAAGGGTAATGCGAGTTCTTAGCTAGGTATGTACATGTATGTGATGGTCTTATGTATTAGTTCTCCCAAAACTGTTAAATTTAGATGATTCTGGGGTAGGTGATGGTGTGTCAGATTTATGACACTGTCTATGTTCACATCAGGGTCCTTGCAGAGTTACAACTGAAGTTGATTAGTTCCAGTGTCAAATGCTATTATGTTGTAAGCTTGTGATTTTATTAGGTATTCATAATTGATGCAACTATATGTGGAGCATAAGTTAATCGTTTCCTATCCTGATTATTAGAAGAAGGATGATTTTGTGGTTGGAAATGATAGTTTCTTCCTTTCAAGTATGTCGTTCCATATCATTATTCAGTCATGACTTGATTGTACATCTTAGAGCATAGATGTGAAATAGTTGGAATAAAGTTTTTGTCCGGACCAATCTGTGTTGCTGCTCTCGATTCTACTGTTACACCATCTCGATTCTACTTTATGCATAGAGGATTCTTTAACAGTGACTTATGGTGGCTCAAACATACGTGATTCTAGCATTTGGTTCTTTGCGTTGTTCGTGAGCACAATCTAATGACCTCTCTTTTTGAGCCCGATGCTAAAAAACAATGGCCAGCTAAAGCAAAATTTGGTGGCAACAAAATGCTACAAGGCAATATTTTTTTAGTTTCCATAAATACATGAGTTTACATCATCCATAACTTAGTTCAAGGGGACAACAAATACATGTGGTTTATGAATGTACACTAGCTCCTACGGTTAGATTGATCTCCACCAGTTGGTCTAACAGTCAATTGGGCCCTTGATCCGCGTCCTGATCGAAGGTGTCCAGCCGTCCTCCTGGCTAATGGGCCCTCGTCGCGCAGCGCTATAAAGAGGAAGGTGGGGGCCGGGGCGCAAGGTACGAGGTTCACCGCAGCCGCCAGCGCCCCACCGAGGTTCCTAACCCTAGTCCGATCTAGAGGGCGCGCTGTGAGCGACGGGAAGCTCCACCGCCTTCACCATCGCCACTGGACTGCGCCTGCACTGCTGCCACTTTCGACACCCTAGCGGGCGCGTTAAGCTACCTCTACTCCGACACTTGAGGCCACGTCGCTGCGGCGCCATGGCTGCGGTGTTGCTTGGTGAGGTACATCATCAAGTTCTTTTGTCTAAGTTGAGTTTTACCCACTGATCTATGCCTAGATGATCCTATAAATCCTATCAATGGTATCAAAGCAAGGTTCCGAGTGTGTAGACCTAGATCAGGGTAGAAAAGTGAAAAGAAATTAGGAGCTCAAAGATTTTCAAGTTTTTCCCAAACCCTAACCCTAGATCACAGAACGGAGAGGAGGAAGGGACCTACCTGGGTTCTTGTCCCGCCGTTGCAACCGCCGTCGCGCGGGAAGAAGAACCCGCCGCCGCCTCGCCGGCACGTGGGGAAGACGGCTGAGCCGCGCTCGTTGCTGTGCGCGTGAGCCCCGGCCGAGGGCACCACTAAAGCCCGCTCGACGGCGGCGCGCTCACCCTCGGGCGAACGCGTGCGGCGGCGAGGGGGCCTGTGGCGGCGCCAGCCTTCTCTTCTCGGCAGCCTTGGGTCGCCGTCGCTGCTATGCTACGCGTTGAGCACTGAGGAGAGGAGAGGGAGGGAGAACGAATGAACTAGGGTTTGGGGGAGCGGCTGCCGCCGGGGGATTTTGATCCACCGAGATCGCCGCCCGGCCGTTGGATCGCGATTGACGGTCGACGTTGATCGGGTCGGCTTTCAGCCCAGGCGGGGAAGCAGAATCCCGGCCTAGGCCGAGGTTGCGGCCTAGGCGTGAGAGAGCGGGCGCGCGCGCTGTGTTAAGCAGGCCGCTTGGCCAAGGTACGTCGCTGGGCCATGCACGCGGGCGCGTTGACGAGATGGGCCGCGGGCCGGAAATTTCTTGGTTTGGCCAAATGAACAGTAAAAGAGAGGTTTTTGGTTTTATCTTTTTTCAGAAGCACATTTTGATGAATTTTGTAAGTTTTGATGAAAAATCTCTGTCAAAATTTGAACCAACGGGATATTTTTTTCAGAGAGTAGATGAGTACAGTAAAATGCTTCTGAAAAAAATTGGATAAATTATTTTTTCATGTTTCCGCTGCAAAGTTTAATGTTTATTATCTTCTAATTAAATTCGAACCAACGGGAGGATTTAATTTGTAGAGCAGTTAATTTTGGTTCAGTAAATTATTATTATGTTTATCCTCTAATTTAAATTAGAGGAGTAGTCTAATTTGTTTTAAGTTAAATTATGGTATTGTTATTTTCTGATCAACGTTGATGATAACAATATTATGATTTTATTTATGAGTTTATGTTTGAAGTTTAAATCTCTGATAAATTTTACACCAACATGATTAATTTTTCAGAGAGTAGATAAAGACCATGAAATGCTTCTGAACTAATAGAATGTATTTTATTATCGTGTTTCGCTGCAACGATGTTGATTATCTTCTAATTAAATTCGAACCAATGGAAGAATTTAATTTTGAAGAGTAGTTATATGTCTTTCAAGTTAATTTATGAGTTTTATGCATTAATTCTATTTTCTACCCAACGGTGATGTAGAATTGATGCAAAAGCATCTTGTAAATTTTATTTTTTAACCGACGAGATCACTCGGCTGCATGCCAATGGGCTGCAATGCTAGGGTATGTGAATTAAAAGGCTTGAGTCAAGCCAGTTCAGGATAGTTTTTTTTGTTAGTTTACTAATTTTCTAATTAAATTAGAACCAACGAAAAGATTTAATTGGAAAATGAAGTATAAGTGAATGTTTTAGTCATCATGACTAAATTTTTTGTTATAGTAATTTGTATATAGATTTATCCCGCATGTGGAGAAGTTTGGCATAATACTTATGCTAGTCAATCCTGCATGGCGGGAGAAGTTTTGTGATGACTCATATGTTTTTTATCCCGCTTAGCGAGAGAAGTTTGGGTAGCTCTTATGCTATCCTAGTATTGACTATGGCACAATAGAAATGCACCGTCATGGTCAATACTAATCAAAGAACAAGAAAAAGATGCAAGTGTGACTTGCAAAAGTACAGTTAATAAAAGACATCGTCGAGTTCTTGAAGTAAAATAAGGAAAGTGTACTCCTATACGGATCAAGAAATAACTTTATTTGTATGGCATAATCATGTGAATGAAGTAAGTCATAAGTGTCTCCTCGTTCACAGTTTTCTGAATAGTTCTTAAAATTATAGCAGTATAGTTCATGCCATATTTTGAGAGGAAGAATTGTGAGATGAATTAAGAGTAAGAATTAAGATCAATTAAGAAACTACTCTTCATTAAAAGTAAGATAAAGATGTTGATGAATGGGTACTCTTCATTAAGAGTGAGATACAGATTTTGTAAGAAATCGAGTGAGATACCCTGAAGCTGAGAAACAGCTAAATTCCTGAATTTTTAAAGTTTCGAGAGGAAGATAGTATAGTCACCATCAAAGATATTAAAGCGATGCTTAAAGCGCCATATAAGATTTTAACAGATTGAATCCAAATAAGAAATTGAAAGATACGCTATCTAATGACCTCTCTTTTTTAGCACAATCTTTGCATTGTCTCTGCGCATTTGGTTCTTTGCGTTGTTCGTGAGCACAATCTAATGACCTCTCTTTTTTAGCCCGATGCTAAAAAACAGTGGCCAGCTAAAGCAAAATTTGGTGCCAACAAAATGCTACAAGGCAATATTTTTTTAGTTTCCATAAATACATGAGTTTACATCATCCATAACATAGTTCAAGGGGACAACGAATACATGTGGTTTATGAATGTACACTAGATCCTACTGTTAGATTGATCTCCACCAGTTGGTCTAACAGTCAATTGGGCCCTTGATCCGCGTCCTGATCGGGGGTGCCCAGCCGTCCTCCTGGCTAATGGGCCCCCGTCGCGCAGCGCTATAAAGAGGAAGGTGGGGGCCGGGGCGCAAGGTACGAGGTTCACCGCAGCCGCCAGCGCTCCACTGAGGTTCCTAACCCTAGTCCGATCTAAAGGGCGCGCTGTGAGCGACGAAAAGCTCCACCGCCTTCACCGTCGCCACTGGACCGTGCCTGCACTGTTGCCACTTTCGACACCCTAACGGGCGCGTTAAGCTACCTCTACTCCGACACTTGAGGCTACGTCGCTGCGGCGCCATGGCCGCGACGCTGCTTGGTGAGGTACATCAACAAGTTCTTTTGTCTAAATTGAGTTTTACCCACTGATCTATGCCTAGATGATACTATAAATGCTATCACCTGCAACCACAGGTAGACATAAACTTGCTCATAACCTATACTATATACATGTACACACTGTTTCATCATTTTATTCTCCAACCAGAGCTGGATTCCTTTGCTTCCTTCTAGAACCTAGGTCCACCTTAGATTCGTAGAGCTTTGTTTTCTACCTCCTTGAGCCTCCAACATTTTAACCTGAAAGCAAAAGTCAATATGCACACCGTAAGTTTCTATGAATTGTAAACATTAATTCTGCTTTGTACATGTGATATCTGCTTGTACTGATTTCGTTTGCAGCTGCTTCTACAGCTGTTGTAAAGACCTGCCTACCAGAAATCACCCACTTGAAAATAAAACAACAGAAAAGGACAATAAAGGAAGCAAAGAACTACCCAAAGCTTGCCTACTCACACTGCTAAAAAGCGCCATGGAGATGCCCTTTTGCATAAGCTGTGACTTTCAGAGTAATATGAGAACTGCATGTCGGGTGCAAGCTGAGTGTAAGGTACTAAGGTCCAAACTTTTCTATTGGAAGTAGGAGATTTTTGTCATAGTACTAGGATTGCAGCCCACATAATTAGTGGCCATTAGTGGACAAACACCGAGCAATTAGACCCAGATTCTCTTTCTGAGTACGAAAGGAAAGGATGTCTGCAGTTTGGCCTATACAATGTTGATGCGATCACCCATGCATGGAACAGCTAAAGAACATAAAATACTCAGTGCTCGAGTGTGTGAATTCTTGAGACATCGATGACATAGCTATGCATGTTGAGTTATTCCTAAAAAAATATGGTATGGTGACTGAATTATGCTTAGCTCGAGGCCTGCTTCTTGTGACTATCACCAACTAGCATACATATAGTTAACCAAAAGCTTATGAATACAGAACGAAGCTCTTATGTTATTTGTTTCCAGTTTGCTTTCGAAGTGTCATGGACTTTACCTCGGGTCCAGAATCCCTGTGTCTTGTACTGGGGGTACGGCACGTGGCCTGACTCTATCATCTTGACGTCGTAGTCAAGATCTTCATAGTGGCAGCGCACCTCCTCAGCAGACTTGATGCCTCCCATGGCGCTGGATACCTTGTCCCACCGGTTGGGTGTGCCCTCGCCATAGTAGGCGAGTGCCTGTTCAAACATCTTGTTCTCTTTCGGGCTCCACTTTGACATGGAGTTGGGAGAGGAGCTCCGCGAGGCAGACATATTTGAAGTATCCTTGTTGAGATACTAACCTCTGTTGGTGCTAAGGCTTACTGTATCTAGTGTCTAGACTAAAGTATTTTGCTCTTCAGAAGCTCTTATGGTGTAGTATCTCTTGTCACAAGGTCTGCTATTTATAGGCCCTGGGGCTGCCTGCTGTGTGCGCGTGTGTGAGCTGTAAGTTGCATGGAATCCCAATTGTGGGTTAAAGGTGGCTGAGGAGAATAAGGCTGGCTGGTTTCAGGGCCAAGGGACATGGAGACTATGTGATCTACTAAATTCAAAGAGTAGAATCTCTATGTTTTAAAACCTCTTAAGATTTTTGTGTTGAGATGACTGGTGGTGCATGATGCTGGATATGGTATCAGAGAAAGAGCTCTTCGTGTCCCAAGCTTAGGGCCATAGCACCTGTGCGTTTCATCTGTTGTTAAAGTTAATTTCCTGATGTTTGGATGACTTTGTACACACACTTCGTCACCCTTTCTAACACATCAAGCTTGTGGCTGAACTTGCAGGTGCTTAGATCTCACAAGTCACAAGTAGGGGGCATTCTGCTTCAAAAAAAGGAATAGCTTTAGATTCTGGTCCGCCTGTGTTTTTTCACACAACCGAGATGGAGCTGAGCTGATCTGGAGTTCTGTACACCCCATTTCAGCAGCACACTGAATCTAACAATGCCAATGGTTTATTTTGCGTGCATGTTGCTGCTCTCTAATGCACAAGCACTGATCATTTCAGCCCCCTGAGGAAATACAACGGCTGTCGTCCAAACTCACTTTATGACTCTGCAGACATGGAGTGCCTCCTTTTTACTGCAAAAAAAAGGACTTTGCATGCCAACATATCACCTCATCTCTGGCATATTAGCATGGTAACATTAGTCCTTTTGAGATGGCAATGCAATATCCTGTGTTCGAGCATGCACACAAGCTTGCATTCATGCACGAAAGACAATAGGGGTGATGAAACACTCTCTGTATCAGTGATATAGTAATAACTCCTATATATGGCTCAAGTTCTGATCAAACATATACTTTCCATCGGCAAGAACAGTGGGCATTATGAATAGGCAGACAGGAGTGAGGGTAAGATCAGTGCAAGTAATCAAATTAAATGTAATGCCATTGTATCCAGCAGCTGTTTTGTACTTGCAGAGACCTATAAAGGCATGGTGTTGTCTGCTGTGGATGAATGCACTTATAATGGAGCAAAGTTACAAGGTTGCCTTGCTGTGTAAGTAGTGACTGCTGAATCCCTTAGTGACTAGACTAGACGTATTTGTTTGCCTTGTTAGAGTAATCTACTGCTTCCTTGTGTGAACACACAGCAAGGGAAAGACGGCGTCGAAAATGTTCTCTGTTGTGATATTGTAGCCGCTGCAGGTGCAGACGCCGAATGGCTCACCTGCAGCACTGTAGCCACATGCAGAGGCCGGTGCAGAGTCAGCCCTGCTGTGTTATCTAGTTATTGTTATAGCATGTGCGTTGTACTAGCACTAGATGGATAGAGTTGTATAAATAGACATACACGGCAACTCGGTAAAGAGAGTTCAGATTTGTCATCTCCCATACAGGGCTTCGGCCAACGCTGGTGTCTTGTATTGTGTGTATATGCTCTGTTCTCCCTCTCCTTCAACCTCTAGCCATAGTGTGTGGGGACGAACAACGCTTGTTCGTGGTCGGCTTAGCTAGTGGGTGCTCGGCAACTCTAGTGGGTGCTCGGCAAGACCGGTGAGTGGTTCACTCACCTGAGCCAGTGATCCTGTGGGCTAACAAGTGGTATCAGAGCCATACAAGCGCCGTCGCCAAACTAACCGCTGGCGATGACGGGCGGTTCGGAGATGGGCGACAGCAGTGGCTGCCCAGCCACGACCGGAGGTCGTTGTTCGCACGGTGCGGGAGGTCAGCGGCACCAGTTGACCGAAGCTGACTCGCACCAACTATGGAAAGTGATCGGTGACCATGAAGGTCAAGCTCTAGAATGCTGTTGACAAGGGCACCGACAATGAAGAAGATGACATGTCAGCGTTGGAGGCTATCATCACTGCTGTACCGACGGAGTACAGGGAGCCGTTGGGGGCAAAGAGCTCGGCTAAGGAGGCGTGGGAGGTTATTGTGGCGATGCGCGTCGGTTCCGACCGCGCAAAGAAGGCGACGACCCAGCTTCTAAAGTAGGAGTACGCTAACCTCAAGTTCAAGGATGGTGAAATGGTGGAGGACTTCTCCCTCCGCCTACAAATGCTCATCAACAAGCTGAAGAGCCACGACGTCACCATCGACAAAGAGGAGGCGGTCTCCATGTACCTCCACTCCGTGCGGGCAAAGTACATCCAGATCGCTCTCTCCATAGAGACGATGCTGGACTTGTCCACCCTCACCATTGAGGATGTGATAGGCCGTCTGCGGGTGGTGGACGAGCGCCTAGAGCAGGCGACAGCAACGAAGGACAACGGCAAACTGCTGCTGATAGAACAAGAGTGGGCTGCTCGGAGGAACTCCGGGAAGGCAGCCTCCTCCAGCCGCGGTGGTGATGGCAAGCGCCGCAGCAAGGCTTCTTTGGAGAAGAAGAAGCAGGTCGACCCCAACGCTTGGCGCGCTGCGGGAAGATGGGCCATTGGGTACGGGAGTGCCCAAATCACAAGTAGAAGAAGAAAGCTGAGGCTCATCTGGCGCAAGCTGATGATGAGGATGAGGCCACTATCCTGATGGCGACGTTCTGTGCACTATATGACGTTGAGGCCGAGGAGAAGGAAGAGGCGACGACGGTAGAAGGACTTGGGAAGGCCCTGAAGACTATCAACCTCGACGAACCACACTCCCAAGTCCACCTCGGACGCGTGGGCGCCGACCAGGAGCAGCGGTGGTATCTGGACTCTAGTGCCAGCAACCACATGACGGGCTCCAAGGCATCCTTCTCCGAGCTTGACGACGATGTTACCGGCACGGTGAAGTTTGGTGATGGCTCCATGGTGGCTATCCAAGGGCACGCCACCATCATCTTCAGGTGCCAGAACGGGGAGCACTGCGTGCTAACAGATGTGTATTACATCCCGCAGCTGCGTTCCAGCATCATCATCATTGGTCAGTTGTATAAGCGCGGTAGCGAGGTACTGATCAAGGACGAAGTCCTTAGGATTAGGGACCAGGAGCAGCGACTTCTCGCCAAGGTGAAGAGGTCCCTAAACCGGTTGTATCTGCTCGACCTGAAGGTAGAGCAGTCGGTGTGCCTAGCAGCAAGGCACACCGAGGAACCGTGGATGTGGCATGACCGGTTCGGACATCTCAGCTTCGACGCGCTTGGTCAGCTAGAGAAGATGGTCCGAGGGCTACCCCACATCAAGCACGGAGGTGAGCTATGTGACAGCTGCCTGGCCGGGAAGCAAAGGAGGCTACCATTCCCAAAGGCGGCCAAGCATCGTGCGAAGGATGCTCTCGAGCTCATCCACGGTGACCTCTACGGGCTGATCATGCCTGCTACAAATGGTGGTCGGCGGTACTTCCTCCTACTCATGGATGATTGCAGTCGCTACATGTGGCTGCAACTCCTAACGAGCAAGGATGAAGCGGCAGCGGCAATCAATAAGTTCAAGATGCGCGCGGAGGCCGAGAGTGGCAAGAAGCTCCACGTGCTGAGGACTGATCGCGGCGGCGAATTCACTTCGGTGGAGTTCGCTCCATACTACATGGATCAGGGTGTGGTGCGACACCACACCACGCTGTACTCGCCACAACAGAATGGCGTGGTGGAGAGGCAGAACCAGACAGTGGTTGACATGGCCCGATCCATGATGAAGGCCAAAGGCATGCCGGCAAGGTTCTGGGGTGAGGCGGTGACCACAGCGGTGTTCATCCTCAACCGCGCTCCGACCAAGGCCCTGACGGGCAAGATGCCGTTCAAAGCTTGGTATGGGAGCAAGCCGAGCATGTCCTTCCTCCGAACATTCGGTTGCATCGGCCACGTCAGGAAGACAAAGCCGAACCTCGCCAAGCTGGAGGACAGGAGCACACCCATGGTGTTCCTGGGCTATGCGGAGGGTACCAAGGTGTATCGGCTCTACGACCCACGCGAAGACAAGGTGCTTGTCTCGCGCGATGTCGTGTTCGACGAGAAGGCGGCTTGGGACTGGACCAGTCCAAACACAGGGGAAGCTGGCGGCTTCACCAACACCTTCGTCGTCGAGCACTTGGTCATCCACGGTGATGGAGATGTTGGGGAAGAGGTGCTGAGCACTCCGAGAGGGGTGCCAAGCACTCCAGCGGCAGAGCCTAGCTCTCCTGGGGCAGTGCAGAGCACTTCGAGAGGGATGCCGAGCACTCCGGGAGGAGTTCCGAGCACGCTAGGAGTGGCATCGGAAGGTTCTATAGTGGTGGCAACCACTCCAGGATGGGTGCCAAGCACTCCCGTAGCGGGGCTAAGAGGTCTTGCAGTGGTACTAACCACTCCAAGACTGAGGCTGGACGCTCCTATGGTGGTGCCGAGCACTGCAGGGGTAGTGACGAGCTGTCCAGAAGTATTGCCGAGCACTGCAACCACTGAGCACTCTAGGTGTTGTGCCGAGCACTCCGGCGGAATAGGGAATTACATCGATGCCAATTGAGTTCGCCTCACCTCCAAGTGACATCACTGAGTTCGTGGATGCCTTCAACGAAGGTAAGGAGGTGCGGTTCCATAGGGTGGATGACATCGTCGGTGGTATAGGACCCTTAGGGCTGGCTGGTCGGCTGCTCAATGATGCAGAGCTGCTGCTCGTCAGTGCAGAGGAACCATCCACGTTCGCGCTGGCCGAGCGCAATGGAAACTAGCGATGGGCGATGCTGGAGGAGATGAAGGCGATCGAGGAAAACGAGACATGGCAGCTCATCGATGCACCTCCAGGATGCCGTCCGATCAGCCTAAAGTGGGTGTACAAGGTCAAGCGGGACGAGCTCGGCGCCATTGTCAAGCACAAGGCACGCCTCGTCGCCCGAGGCTTTGTTCAGCACGAGGGCATAGACTTTAAGGAG